AACAGACGTTTGGTTAATAGTTTAAAATTTTATTCATTAGTATTTAATTTGTAATTTGAAAAAAGTGTGTATGTGTTTTTGTTGTGTGGCTATTTCAATAGTTGGGGTGTATTTTCACTTATATATTGTATTGTATTGCATAAAAGTATTTATATTTTATGCATATTTTAAGTAAATATTATAGTTTACATTATTCGATAATACATGTAAGTATGTATGTACGTTTGTATGTGAATATTAATTTGCGTTATACTTCAATTGCAAATTAAAAATATTTGCTTGCACTTTTCGTTTGTTGTTTTTGTTTTTTTTTTTTGATTTTGTTCGCATTTCTTTTAGCAGCATAAATGCATACAAGGGAAATAAGTAAAATTATAATTACAACAATATGTTAATAAATAATTTCAAAAATAAAAATTTTATACATAAAACATTTTTTTTTCGTTTTCAATAATTTTATATGGTAAAATTTTTGCGATTTTTTTCTTTCTTGATTTATATATTATATATAATATTTTTTTTGACACTATTTTGTAAATTATTTGTAGTATAATAAATTTGTGCATAAAAAAGCGCACAAAGGTACGTAAAGAGTACCAACATTATTATTATTACACATGCATATACATATGTATGTATGCATGTACAGTACATAAATATGAAATTCCAAAAGAGTTAACTGAGGAGTGCTGAGCGACTTAAATTTAAATTTCCGTTGTATGTGCTTAAACATACATATACATATTATATCTATTATATTTAACATTTTGAATTAATTTAGTTTATTTGCAGAGAAAAATTTGCGTTTTCGGTGTTTAGTATTCGTTAGATTAATTTAGAAAAATTGTTAGTAAACTTGCTGGTGTTTCAATTGAAAATTTCGTTAATTAATAATTACAAAAATACTCCGTATTTTTCTTTATAGTTCTTATTGTTAACAAAATTATGTATTTTTGTTGTTTCACGTTATGCGTCATTTACTATTATTTCCCTGCTTGTAGCAGTTGGTGTATTTTACATAAATATATGTATGCACTTTGTAATAACTACTTATTTTTCTCAAATTTTTCTTTTGGTGTTATACATAAATTTAATCGCTTTTAGTATTTGTTTTGTTTAAATTTACTTAGATGGTTTTTAATTTTTTGTTTACAATTTTGGTTTTTTTTATTCATATTTTAACTGTTCCGATAATTAAAATTTCACTTCTATTTGCCTATTCATATTTTTTAATTTTTTTTGTTCATTTAATAGTATTATTATATTAAATATTTTTATTTATTTAATTTTTTTTTTTTTGGTTATTTTATTTTCATAGTGTTTATACGTTATTTGTAAATTTTTTTTGTCAAGATTCCTCCAGTTTTAAAAATTAAATTCATATGTCCCTTTAATAATTATTTTAGTAATTTTCAATTTTTGGAATTATTTATTATTTATAATTTTTATTTATTGATTTTTACGTTTTATTATTTTTATAATTATTTTCTTTTTATTTTCATTTTTTTTCTTTTTATTAATATTTTTTTCTTTTTATTAATATTTTTTTCTTTTTATTCTTGTTTTTTTTTTCTTTTCATTGTTTTTTTCTTTTTATTATTTTTTTTCGTTTTATTATTATTTTTCTTCTTATTATTATTGTTTTTTCTTTTTATTATTATTGTTTTATCTTTTAATTATTTTTTTTCTTTTTGTTATTTTTTTCCTTTTATTATAATTTTTTCATTGAATTATTTTTCACTTTTTATTATTATTTCTTATAATAGTTTTTTTCTTTTTTTAATTATTTTATTATCTTTACATTAGAATATATTTATTGAACTTTTGTTTATTTGTTAATTTCATTTTTCTAATTATTGTTAATTCTACTTTTTCAATATTATTTAAATAATTTTTTATGTTATTTAATTTAAAACAAGTTTTTATTTATTTGATATATTTTATTAATAAATGAAGGATTACTTTTTATTATGTTTAGTTTATATTTTTATTTCATTTCACTCTTTCCATTGATATTTAATTTATATAAAACCATTTACAATAATAACACTAATTATATTATAATAATTTTCTATTTCATTTTATTTCCAAATTAATTTTTTATTTAATCGATATTTTCTATTATGGGCATTATTTATTTTTAATTTATATTTTTATTTTTATATTATTTATTAGTTAAGAACACAACTGATTTGTAATATATATTTTTACTTTAATTATATTGTAATTTTTTATTTAATCTATATTTTTTTACTAATAGAAAATCTATTTATTTTTTCATTATATTATTAATTAATCTATATTTTTTATTCATTTTATTTTTTCAGTCTACATTTTTACAATATTATATGACTTTATTATTAAAATTATATTCAAATATTTTTTTTTTATATTCAAATAATTTTTTTATTTTTTTATATTCAAATTAATTTTTATTTATTTCATATTATCATTAAAATCAATTGTATTTACTTTTAACATTTATATTTAATTAAATCATATTCCATATTATTAATTGATTTTTATTTTATATTTTTACCGTAATTAATGTTTATGATAATTTTTTATTTTATTTTATTTTCAAATGCATTTTTTTATTAATTTGATATTTTTTAATAATATTTTTCCATAGTATTTTTAATTAATTTTCATTTTACTTAACGTTTTAATTGAATAATAATATATATTTTTGCAAAAATTATGCTATACTCCATTGTTTTATTTTTAAAATTAAAACTTATTTTTTCGTTATTTGATATTTTCAATAATAGAAAGGGCATTTATTTTTTAATTTTACATTTCGGTTAAATTTTTAGTTGTTTTATAATCTCGTTTCTATTAAATTTTTATTAATTTTTAATATATATTTTTAAAGTATTTATAGATATTATAATAATTTTTATTTTATTTATTTTTTTTTAATTATCATATATTTTATTAGATACACTTCATTAATAGAAACTGTATTTATTTCTTAATTTATTTAAATTATATTTTCATTTCTTTTATATTTATACAATAATTGTTATTTTACGAATTTTTGTTCAATATTTAAAGTATTTTTTTTTAATATTTTCACAATTTTAATTTATATATTTACAATAATTGTATTATAACTAGGATTTATATATTTGTTAAAAATATATTTTTATTTCATCTTTTTATTCTTTTTTAAAATCAATGGTTTTAATATTTTTTATTTAAATTTTATGGATATTTTATTTATATATTTACAATAATTAAATGATAATTATTAATTTATATTAACTTTTTTAATTATATATTTTTATTTTATTTTGCATAAATTTTTTTATTACTGATTTAATATTCATTTTTTTTATTTTTTAGATTATTGTTTTAATAATTTATAAATTACTTTACAACTGTTTATTTTTATATTTACAACAATTATATTATAATAATTTATTTAGATTTAATTTTTTAAATATATATTTTATTTAATAAAAAAAATTAAATATTTTTATTAATTTGTTACATTTTCTTATTACCTATTTTATAATATTTTTACAACTAATTTGCGATTGTTTCAAGCTTAAATATACATGTTCATGTTTAAGCTATAACAGTTTTCTTTTATATATGCGCTTTTATTTTTTTTACTAAAAATTATTGTTATTCCTTTTCAAATTTATTTGCTGATAATACTTATGTTTAATGTACATTTGAGTTTTTTTATTATAATACTATAGCCAAGTAAACTGCCCTCTTTGTTTAATATAACATGAAAAAAAATATTCCTAAAACAAAAAAAAAAATAAACAAAAACCGAAAAAATGAATCCTTTTTTACTTTTTAAAAATTTAAAGATTTTTATAGAAAATTTAGTTTGCTATAATAACGAATTATTTTTTTACATTAGCGTAAAGGCGACTTTAAACTTTACGCTCCAAAGGTACTGAAAACTAAATTTGATAGTTTCTTGATTTAAAACGCAAATAAATAAATAAAAAAATAAAATAAGAATTGGACGTCAAGTGTGAGCCAAAGGCACTCGCCTCTTTTAAACTCTATTAATTTACTGCTATTCCAATGCTTGGAACATAAAACTGGATAAAATTATTATTTATGTCAATACAAAAATTAAATAAAATTCATTTTAACGGTAATATTCTAAAGTACTTTTAAATGCTTAGGTTAAACGCATAACAACAGAAAATAAGTATTTTTTCAGCAAAATAAATAAATTTTTATACATAAATCTCTCACTTAGCCGCAATCGTCATAATTCTAATTACAAATATTAAAAAAATAAACACATAAAAAATGATTGCAAATCTTTATGTTTCAATTAAATATTATAAACATTAGCTGCTTGTATTTAGTAAACAAAAAACTCAACTTGGCTTCAGTACCTTATTTAGTTTGTAATAACATATATTTTTTAATTTAATAAATAAATTTATACACATACTAATAATACAATTTCTTTAAGATCTTTCGTTTTTCAAAAAGAAATAAAAAAAATTAATAAAATAAAAAAATAAAAAATATTAATCAAATTGGATGGAGAACAAATTACAGTATTTACTGATATATTAAGAAAAATAATTGTATTGTCTATAAATAAGTATACATGTACGAGTATATATATGCAAACACATAAGTCTAAAATTAGTAATGAACATTTAATATGACTTAAAAATACTTTAAAACATAATTCTACAAGATTACATAAATAATATTAGTTAAAAATAAATAGAGAGAGAAAGAGAGTAGAAATACAAATACTTTTGAAATGTTTGCGTTTTTTTTTGTTTATTTACTTTCCGCATTTTGCGTCTAAATATTACAAATTTCCATAAATACAATACTAATAACTAAAAAAAAATTGAAATGCTGGCAAATGCGCCATAAACGCAATCACATCTTATACTTTACTGCAATCGATGTGATAAATAATTTTAATATTTTTTTATATTTTTTAAAATTTTTTTTTATAAACTCAGATTGTGACTTAAATTTTTAGAAGCATTCCTGTAATCGTTTCAACTAAAAAAAAAACCCACAAGGGAATGCAAATTGTTATTGTTTGCTAAAAAAAATAAGAAGAAACCTTATAATCTGTTGCTTATCGTTTTCGATATATTTTTTTGTGTTTAATTTTAACTTAGTGTTTTAACTAGCCCATTCTGTACATTATTATTTAATGCGACGCAGTGGCAACGTTGGACTTTCTGGCGGTGTGCTGCTGCTCGTTTGCAACGCACTCTTCTTTGGCACATTCACACCTTTAAAGGGTGCGCCCAATTTTCGTGCGCCACGCGGTGATGATGAGTTTATATTTGTTGTTGCCGCCTCCATTGCAGCTGTTGTGGTAGCCGAAGCGGATGGTGCAAGACCGGTGTGTATCAGATCTTTTGTGCTCGAATCAATGGAAGCCTGTACCCAACCTGATAAAAAAAAAAAGGAAAAACAAAAACACAGAAATATTTAATTTCAGAATAAATATTATTTAAATAAATAAAAATTTATTATTTTTCATTATTTTTTACATCAGTTTTGTTTTTTTTTTTAGAATATAAAAGTAATCATAAAAACAAAGTGATTCTCATATGCATATGGCCGATCAGAGTTAGCTTTATTTATAGTGAAAATGTTGGCATAACTCTTTAGAGTGAATTTTAGGTCATGAGAATTCCGAAGTTGAGGTGACTAACGATCTACCGTTTCGATTTCACTTAGGCCTGACTAAGAACCATTGTGATGCCATTAAAACTTGACCATCAAATTTCATGAACGAGCCATTTTGAAACTCTAATGAGCCTCATTAGACCCATGACTTTAATGTCGTTATCTTTGATAGACCATCCAGTAATAGGGTCCCGAAATTCCGAAACCTAACTCCTCTCAAAGCAGAATCGTCTTATAAGAGATGGGTGATCGTATTCTCTTCTTCGTCATCTTTGCAGCTTCAGCAGGTCCAGGAAACGTGCTGTTTCGACGGGATTGGACCCGAAGGAGAGGGGTGCTCTATCTCTTGCCTACCGCTATTTTGCCTGAATAGAGGGCCGTAGCAGCCTTCTCGTATCTTTGGATATTATCTTTCCAGTTTAGCTTCTTGTCTAAGATGACAAAACACTAATTCTACTTTGTTTGAGTTGACACAGAGAGCACATCAAGTAGTCTCGGCCGCTACCTTTCTGAGTGTTCCCTGCAACAAGTGTATGCAATGCTGATATCATCGGCGTTGGCAATAACTTTGCCTCCACCCATTCCTCTTGCGTTAATAGAGAGTTTACTATCAGGTTCCAGAGCAATGACCACCCTGTCGAATGCTTCTGCCTGCTTATCTGAATACCTGATATCCTTCCAGGTTCGCGGCGAAAACACTCGCACGCTGATGATGAACTATTCTTCTCCTGCTGTCGCCTTTATAAATTCCCTTTGGCCCATTTCGCATTTCCTCATAAAAGGTAAAAAACCATTTTTCTTTCATATTTTATATTTCTAATTAAATTTGTTTACTTAAAATTGAGTACTCAGTTTACCTATGCACTCACCCTTAATTGAAGATCGATGATGATCGATTAGCGCCGCTGCCAAGGGCGCTGCTGCGCCCGTATCACGCACTGGCATTGGATTGTAGATGCGATTGGCGAAGTCCTCAAAGGTTGTGCTCTCTTTGTAGCGTGATGAGACACTCTCCAACGAACGATTACGTTCCTCATAACTACAAGTTTACAAAAGAGAGTGTATTTATTAAAAACTCGAAAACTCAACTCGAATAACTACTTACTATTGCTGGAACAGCGGCATTGCAGCACGCTTGGCTCTGCTCGCATTGATCGCTGTAGCGCGTATGAGTGTCGCAAGACAAGCGCCACTCACCACACTCTCATTGGCTAAGGGGCCGAACCACGGCACCTCTGGCTTACGATTCACCGTTACACGGAAGAGACCATTCTTCAACGGGTAGACCACAATGAGCACATCGCAAAACTCTGTTGGTAAAATATCACGTCGATAGTCGCGATAGTGTTCGCTCCACACAATATGCACCTCATCATTGCCCAGATGGCGTGTCTTGAGCAGTAAATTCTCCGGCGAATCGGATGGCATGCGTGTTGCGACGTGATACACAACCTCCAGGAAAGGCGTAGCATAGTAGGGTGCAGTAGCGCCACAACCCTGACGCGGCAAGCCGCCAAGGAAACCATTATGCGTCTCCAAATCGATCTCCCAACCCAATGCAGAAACGAACATTTCATAAGTGCTGCTACCGCTGGCATTATTCAATATGCTGCTTTTGTCCTCCTGCCCAGAGGCCACATAGATCACCGCCATTTTGTGCGTCTCACGACAACGCTGCTGATCGACATTGCGCAATTCGCGCAAGAGCTTTTCGGTGCGTAGCAGTAGGTGTGTGCGCGAACGACGTTCCCAACCGGCCATGCCGAGATGTGAGAAGAGCAGACGACAGTATTGAAAGGGTATTTCAGTGCGACCTGTAAGACTTGTCGTGTTGTAAGATTCGAATGAAGCGTGCGAAGTCTGTTCAGCTGAATGCAATGAATGTTGATCGTGATGTAGGAGAGAAGAGTTGGCGGAGGCATTGGTGGTAGCGCCATTTTGTAGCGCTTGTTGATTAAGATTGGAGACATATTCTTGCTCGAGTGCGCGTTGATTCAGTATGATTGAGATAGTTTGCGCCTCCAAGCTGCTACCCAGCGGGCTGGGGCCAGGCGTATTCAGTGGTGATAATGGATTTGTTAAGCACTCAGGACTGGTGTGGCCAATGTAGGCCAAGAGCTGGTGGGGAAAAATAAAAAATAAGAATTAGAAATTTTAAATATTCACCTCAACATATACGTACATCATCTAATTGATCGAGATCAGGTGCCAAGTCCTTGGCTAACGGCAATTCGCCCGCTGGCCGATGTCGTAAGGTATGTCGCGGCGGCAGTACATCCAGTCCAATCATTGAGGATATCAGCGAATCCATAGGTTGTGAGACGTTGCGGTGATGCTGTGGCGTTGTATTGAGGCTACGCTGCATGCTATCGCCTGCGCGCTCAGCAGCCACTATGCTGCCCGACACGTGCGCTATGGCAGCACCTTCACTGGTCAACTGCTTTACATGTCTACGTGGCTCACTATATAGTATCGAAGCATCCCAACACGCTTTACCGTTCAAATCGCGTAACAACACGCGCACTTGCTTCTCAGCTGTTATCAAGCCAGCTGTTGCGCCACCACCGGGCAGTTTGAGCGCAGGTAATTCAATGAAACTCGCTACTAAGCCGGAACTCAACATAAAGAGCTGCATATTTTGCGCATTCAACACAGATGGTAACTCAACTGAATCTCGGCGCGTTTCAGCGCCTGAAGCTTGTCCGCCCAGTCCTGCATTGGTCGCTACATCATCCTGTTCCTCTACCATTGAGCTCAGTCGTGAAGCGCCAATGCCCATGGGAAAGTGTCCGAGATGTGTAACCAAATGCATGGCGATCGCTTTCGCGCACATTTTAATCGCACTAATGCAAGCCTGTATCGTTTCCGAAGTCTGATAGTTCGCCTCAGGTAGTTTGCCATCCGTTTGCAGGTCATCGTTGGAGATGTGTGTATCGAAGTCATCGTCGGCAGTTAACTTAACGCGCTCATGCTTTGGTACACCCGAAGCTATTTGCATTAGCACACGCAACACCAACAACACAAGAGTATCGCCACGTTCATTAAGCGGCGCCAACATCAGCGAGGCCGGGAACGACATGCAATATTCGCCAAGGCAGAGCATAAGCGAGGTTAATACTATTTTGTCCGAGTCCTTGGGATTCGTTACATGCTGTATTTCAAGCGCCTTACATATAGCGGTGATAATTAATTGAGGCATGCGTTCAATGGAGGCCAACTCGCGGCCACGCTCCGCACACAGCTTCAGAGCGTCCACGGCCACAATGGCGATGGTGCGATGTTTGAATTGCAAAGCTTGTAGCAAGACCTGCATAGCCTCCCGTATCCGCGGATTGAATTGCGTGCCGTGATGCAAATCACGTGGTTGCACGCCGGGCGGGTGTGGTATGGCTTGCTGAAAGTAGCCACGAGAACGTCCAGTCGACTGCATGGGATGTGAAAGCTTCAAAAGTATCCACTGGCCGAGTTGAGAGAGAGCGATGCAACGCGCTTTGGCCGAAGGTTCACGACGCGCACAACGCAGCACGATATTTAATATGTGATCTTGTAGGTCGAGACACTCCATAAGTTCGAAAATTTGTGGTGAGGGTTGTAGTACTGGACGCGGTATGAGCGTTGCAGGATAACAGAGCAGCGAGCCGAGCAGAGCGGCCACTTCGGCGCGTGGTGTATTGCGATTCGCTTCAAGCGAGGTTAAGAGTATAGCGGAGGCATGCACAATATCGAGCAACAGCAGAGTGTGACCAGGTAGCAGGAGACTCAGAAAACGTGGACCTTCCAGATGCTTTAGTATCGCGTAAATCAAATCGCGATCTTCGCCAGTAAGCAATTTATGTACCGCGTTGTAAAAGAGCGGCAAATGTTGCATGCCCGAAACGGCACCATGTACGGCGAGCGAGCAGAGTAGTTGTAATGCCAACAATTTACCCTTCTTAAACGATTTGTCCAACTCAAGCGCGCCATAGCACCAAGGTGCCACAATGCCAATGGGCGGTACAAGCGAGGGCGGTGGTGGTGTACTTTGATTGTCTGTGGAAATTCCTTGATTCTGTTTGATCTTTATCAAATTTGTGGTCATGTCGAGCAGATGCTTGAAAACTTGTGCGTGTAATTCCGCTTTTGGTATGCGATTCACATCGCCGAGCGCACCTAGCATACGCTTCCACATAATCGCCGTTGAATCAGGTAGCCAACCAGTGGCTGCCCCACCCAGTATTATAGAGCGCCGCTCCGAACCGAGAAAACTGCCTGAGCTACCCTCCTCCAAGCTGCCACTGTCTACCGCGAGAACATCGATCTGCATTTGTGCATCCTTAATAGAGCTACCCTCAATGCCGCTACTTGCGGTCGGCGACGGACTACGCGAATCTGCGCCACTATCGTTGTCCTCGCCGTCCAGCGCATCTTCATCGTCATCGCCAAGCGTGGAGTTGCGTTGACGCCGCTTACGACCACGTTGTCGTACACCAAAATTAGCTACCGAGTCCAATGACATTGCACGTCGCATATCGTTGTGCTGCTGCTGCTGCTGTTTGTGCATGCTTTGTGCTTGCGCGCCGCCAGCGCCACCACCTAAGCGTCGCGCATTTAGAGTTTCCGAGCTGAGTGACAACTCGATCGTCGATTGCTGTGATAGCAGCGCACTCAACGAATGTTCGACATTAGTGGGCAGCCCAGCTGGCACTACGCACGCGCCTTTCTGAATATTACGATGACGGCGACTGCGCATGCGTGAATTACGCGCCACCGATGCCAAACTACCTTCGCTGTAGCTGCGGCTAAGTAGCGGTGTTAGTACGGTAGCAGCGTGTCCAGAACGCAGTGTGGCGCCGCCATGCCCGTGGCCGCCGCTGCTAAGTGAATGTTGATGTGAGTGTAACTGACCGCCACCGCCCACGTTAGATTGATCATCCGAGCGACTGCTATTCGATTCGCGTTCACGCTCGGCGGCACTATCACGTTCCCGACTCTCTTTCATAGCACTCACAACAGAACTACCCGATTGCTGCCAAACACTGCCGATACGACGCCGTTTGCCCTTACTTTCGGCCAACCGATCCAACGGCAAATCCTGCAGATTGAGCGCGTACACGTAGCGTGAAAAAACGCGCGTCAACGTTTGTATTGTTTTATCCCATTCGATGATCAGCTCATCGCGATATGTGAGCGAGGCGAGTACGGCGAGGAATTTCTCCCAAAGCTGCACATTCACTGGCACATTGGTGTGCGCGCGTATCCAGGTGACAATGAGCGTTTGAAAAATAGCCTGCCCAAGTATGCCACCCAGACTAGAGCTCTTCGAACCGCTCGGATTTTGATGCAACACAATCGAGGTGACCTGCAGCAACACCAATAACAATTGCTCCCAAGTCTTCGGCTCCATGCGCGTGTTCATCACCATTGTACGATAGACATTCAGCACCTTCTTACACACCTCGGTCTGTTCGTGCAGCGGCGTAGAACGGTAATCGCGTGACTTTGTCGGAAAGTAAATGTTCAAATGACTGGTGTTGACGAGGAAAACGTTCGCTGCATTTGTGACGAATATTTGTAGCACATTCTGAAGACCTGCGCGCACCGCCACATTCTCCTTGCTCATTGCGCCAACGTAAGAGGGTGTCCGCAGGCGTTGACTACGCGGTGTACTGCCCGCGGAGCTGTTGCTTGCCAACGCCATATTGCCATTACTGTTATCGTCGGGTTCAAGCAAAAAATGCGGTGGAGTTGTGCCCGTCATCCAGTCGCGATATACAGCAATTGCCGTGCGTATAGCATCGATTTGTGATTTCGTTGTGAAGTTCAGCAAGAACGCCTGCCGGTAGACTTCATGTACGAAGTTTATATTCTCACGCGTTGCATACAACACATCACGTACAATCAAACTCTGTTGGTAGGCGCGCAAGCGGTGATTTTCGTTGATGTGCATATTGTCCAACCGGTGATTCATGGTGCGCTCATGCGTAAAATGCGAGATCCAATTGATCAGCACCACAACGCATGAGGACATCACCTCCTCCTTCTTATTAACCGAACGCATAACGGGCAACTCAAGGCGCGGCTCGTAAACGGACATGGTGAAATCGAAGTTGGGACAGAACACGGGCAGGAAAACGTCTTTGAAACGTTGCAAGAGAAATGCAAACGCTTTGTGATCCTTTTGCGAACGATTGTCGCGCCAGCGCAGACAAGCCACAGTTTGCAACATACTGTTCAATAAAATCTCCAGCCCGTCGCGTGGATCGGGCGGCGCCGATTTTTCATTCGATGAAGGTGGCAATAACGCGACAATTTCCGAATTCTGCACGGGATGCGAAAAGGTATCGTGGAAAACCGAAGTAGTGCCGCCGTCCACCTTCATATTGGGATGATTGAGAAAATCAGTCGCATTGAATTCGACATCCGGGCCAACAATACCCTTCTGCGGTACAATCAAGCCCGGTATGAGATCGGCATACATGGAATGCACATAGGAGGGTGCATTTTCGCCCAGCGCCTGATACCACAGCAGAAAGTAGCTGTGAAAATAGGTAAAACCAGCAAATAAGTACAAAATACATATATGGGAAATATTATGTGACAAAGACCCACCGCACACCCTCGCGCCGCAACTTTGGCGAATTCCCCAAATGCAACAATTTTGCCATTATGCGACTGAGTGAATGGCATTGCCAACGTCGTGCCAGCAACTCTGGCAGCCAGCAAAGTATTTTCTCCAGCAGCCATAATGTGCCATCCAATTCTTCGCGATGTGCTTTGTGTACTAAATTTTGAGAGAATTTTTATAAATTTCAACGATTAGTGCATGGAAATGGCTTGGGGCGTAGAGTAATGTATGTGGTATAAGCAGTAACATAAACAAGAAAACAACAATAACACTTTACAAGCAACAACATACATATTATACAAATACTTATGGCAGACACTGTGTTAGTTATGCGAGTGAAACATTTACATTTGTAACATATGAGAGAATGTGCGGATATTTTCATGAAATGAATGGCATTTAGAAAAGTTAGATGATTGTGAGAAGCAAAGGAAGCAGTTTAGATACATACGTACAAACGAGTATATGACGCACTTTAAAATCTATCATCACCTAAGCCCTTCTGCAAAAAAAAAATCTAGGATCTTTACATTGTATCCGTGCCACAGGTGCAAAACCAACAAATGAATGAGGAAAAATAGCTAAAATGCTTTTGAGAAAAATATTCAGGAAATTTAATTTTTTTATTTATTTTATTTCAACTAAACTCGGTACATCTGAACGATCATTTCAAACATCGATTATTTCATATATGATGTTTTTTTTTATCAAAAAGCCGTCAAAAAAGCATATGAGAGCGTGAAATTTGGTATTCAATAGACATATACATGTGCAAATCAATTTTCTCCGAAAATTATCGAAAACGAAAAACTTCATATACATACGAATTTTTCTGATATGAAAATTAAATGAAAATCATAAATTTAATAGGGTCATGATAGGTATAAAAACTTCGACATAGTCAGCATAGACAGTTTTCCTTTTCTTGGTTTACTTTTTAAATATCATTACGTTTCATTTTATTTTATTTTATTTTATTTTATTTTATTTTATTTTATTTTATTTTATTTTATTTTATTTTATTTTATTTTATTTTATTTTATTTTATTATTTGTTTAACTTTTTATTTTATTTTTTTATTCACTATCAATTAATATTATTTATTTTAATTTAATTTCATTTAATTTGATTTAATTTTATATAAAATATTTAATTTAAATTTTTTTAAATTAATTTTACTGAATTATATTTTATTTTATTTTATTTACTTAAATTAAATTTTATTTAATTTATTTTAATTAATTTTATTTAATATTTTTATATTAGTTTAGTTTATTTTGTTTTATTTTATTCTATTTTCATTTTTTATTAATACTTTTTTATTTTAGTTCATTTTATTCTATTTAATTCACTTTAGTCTAATTTAAATTTTAGTAATTTAATTTTTTTTATTATTTTTTTCTATTCTTATTATCAGATATTTTGTTTATTAGCGACCGCTATCAATGCAACAGCTCTGTCAAACTCAAAACTAACTACAGTAAACTATAGCTGCTATGGTAAATTTTCATCGATCTGTTGTCCCCTTTTCGGAAATAATGCACTCTTTAATTTAGTTTGGAAAAAAGCTAATAAATGACGAAAAAATTTATCTTTGTACTTTTCTAGAAAATAAAGGACATACAGATGCCTTCGTACAAAATTTGTACCAAATTGAATGATAAATCGAATAATAAATATTTTTTTCGAATAGGTCGATCCTGGGCCTGAGCTTACTTTCTGCATAGAAAGTCGATTTTCGTTAAAAATGAGTTAGCAAATCGGTCAATCATTAAGCAAGCGGAAAAATTTGCAAGATTGCGTTTCGATGAAATGTCTGGATAAAAGCTACAGGATTTCATTAATGGTTTTTTCGGCTAAACAAATGGCAACAAAAATTAAAAAAAAAACCAAAAAGAAGAGCTGTAAATTTACGGTATTTCATTTTAGGAAAAAAGTAATTCTCTCTGAAAATCGGTGGTACGAGGTCTAAATGATATAGTCATCCAACGTCATTGATTTCAATACCAATATTATTTTCGTGTGTTAATACCAAATTTCGTAATTTTACATGATTTGTTGAAGCCGTTTTTAACCCGATACCTCATATCTAACCGGTTGTATGCAGGCTATACGATATAATAGTTCGATTGCGATGATTTCGGGGGTTAATGTTCTTTTTGTAGGCACGTTTATATAATACCAAATCTCACGCTTTTAGATGACTTCTTGGCGGATTTTTGGATAAAACTTAAGACATTATTTCAAGTACAAGAAGAGTATAAAAATCAGTAAGAACCACCAGTATCTGCTCTTTAAGGTAAAAACAAAATTTTAAAGGAAAAAAAATGCGTACGTCCCCTTTAATTAGGAGTGTCAAATGAATGAGATTTAAAGCGATTTTCTCCAATAAACAAAACTAAACAGGCAACTAAATTTTATAAGAATGAATTTCAAAATAATATATATTTTTCAATTTTCTCTCCATCAAAATATGCATGAGTATGGAAATCAAAGAGATGTGTGAATGGCGTGCGAATTCGATGAGAGAGAGAGAGAGAGATAGAAAAAGCCGCAGCGAAAACTGCGAAAATATTCAACCGCAAAAACTTACCAATATGAAACGGAAGTTCTGCCATATTGTTTTTTGTTTTGTTTAGTTTATTTTCAATTTTCATTATTATTATTATTTTTTTTTTTTTTTTGGTGTGTGTAAGATTCGTATACATAGTGGAAGATTATATGGTGTTTTGGTGGTTGGAGAAGAAGAGCAATAGAAAAATATAAAGGAAAAAAACAGAAAATATTTCGATTATGTAGAATAGACATAATTTTCCATAAAAATATACACGAATACAGCAAATATCATACATACATACAGACGAACATATACGTGTACGTACATATACACTTTCCAAAGGTAACCACACAGGTGTTATTTATTGTAGCTATATTTATATATAAATATGTACGTACCCTGCAGGAAAAGGTAGAGTAGTATGCAAAAATTCTAGTTAAGTACTAGTATTTTGAAGACGAAATCATACTAGTTTGTTTTAAACCAGAATTCCATTAGTACTCAAAAAAAAACAAAAATTACTATGGGTTGACCCAAAGAAATCGGCGACTTTTTAAAGAAAATAAAAACATTTTTTTTAAATCTTACAATGAGCTTTAATCAATTATGTAATTTCCATTTTGTTGCATGACCTTTCGCTATCTTTCCGGCAACATCAATATTCCACGCTCATAGAACTTCTGCTCTTTATCTCCAAAAAACTGAATAAACTGCGATTCCATAGCCTCGTCATTTTCGAAAATAGATGCATGTAGAAATGATGGTAGATGCAACAACAGTTCCCAGCCAAACTCTCTCAGTTTTTTGCGAGTGACCAAAGGGGTGTGCGGTCTAGAGTTGTCCTGGTGGAATATGACGCCTTTACAATGGATCAATTTTAGCCGCTTGTCGTTGTTGGATGTATTCAATTGGTTCATTTGTTCACAGTAGACATCCAAATTAATCGTTTGGTTCCTTGGAAGCAGCTCAAAATGTACCCCACTCTTTCAGTCCCACTAAACTGACAGCATAAACTTTTGTTGGTGAATATCAGCCTTGAGGTGGTTTGTGGCGCTTCATCATGCTTGGACCATGATCGTTTTCGATTGAAGTTATTGTAAACAATCCATTTTTCATCTTCAGTTCTTATTTGTTTCAAAAACGGATCAACGTTAAAGATGCTTGTCTCAAAATGTTGCAGCGGCTTGTTAAATGAATTTCATTCAATTCGTGTGCTACCCAAATATCAAGTTTTTTTACCAGTCCAAGATTATGAATCTCACGCTCAGTTACATGACGATCCGATTCGATTAAAGCCTTGATACCTTCATCATCAACTTCACTTGGCCGACTTGAACGTGGTTTATTTTTGAGTGAAAAATTTCCCCAGCGGAATTTGACAAACCAACTTCGACACTGTGATTCTCTTAAGGCCTTATCACCATACAAATTATGAAATTTATTGTGACCTGCTTCCTTCCTTCAAGGAAGTATATAATATATTATACATAAGTTGCGCTTTGTAACCGCTGAAGCGATTTTCCACTGAGCTCCTCCTCTTTTTTTCTAAAGCAAGCTAAAAGTGACAGCTTATAACTGTCAAAAGTTGAAAAATCGCCGGTTTTTTTAGGACAAACCAATAGTCTACCATAGACTAAAATTATACTAGTATTTTTCGTATAAATCTGAACGAGTTAGCAAATGTCCTAGTATGCGAACTAGTATTTTGCGGACAAATTTATACCAGTTTGACGTTTTGAAAAAAATAATAGGACTCATAAGTAACTGGACGCTCCGACCACATGTCGTCACGACTTGACGCTACAACAACAACAGCAACCCCATATTACTTTGGTTTTTTATTATTTTATTTTGTTTAATTGTAAAAAATGATGAACAATCCTAATTAATCTTCAAACACATAGATCTATATCTGATAACGTTATTGCAAAGAAATAATGTACCAAATTTCAAGTAAAGTGAACCATAAGTGGTTTTTTTTCAAATGAATTGGTCCCAAGTCAACTTTCCGTGACAGGAGTTTTTCGAAAACTATTTTTTAAAACAACCTGAACTCACACAAAAAAAAAACAAATTCTTAAAATTAATTCAACCGCTCGGAATGCCGGGATTAATTGAAATGTCTTTCGAATAGACGATGCAAACTGGTATGAACTAACTAGTATTTTAACTGGTATGCAACTAGTATGAAGCTGCCACTTAGACTGGTCATTGACATTTAGTTGGACATCGCCATGTTAAAAATACCAGTCGATTCAACCGCTCGGAATGCCGGAATTAATTGAAATGTCTTTCGAATAGACGATGCAATCTGATATGAACTAACTATTATTTTAACTGGTATGCAACTATTATGAAGCTGTAACATAGACTGACCATTGACATTTCGTTGGACATCGCCATGTTAAAAATACCAGTCGATTCAACCGCTCGGAATGCCGGGATTAATTGAAATGTCTTTCGAATAGACGTTGCAAAATGGTATGAACTAATTAGTATTTTAACTGGTATACAACTATTATGAAGCTTTTACATAGACTGACCATTGACATCTCGTTGGACATCGCTATGTTAAAAATACCAGTCGCTTATATGTAAAATGATTGGAAGACGAACTAGTTGGTGGTGTAAAAATGTAAATTAGTTGGATTCTAATTAGCAACGAGTATTTTTTCCTGCAGGGTATGTATGTATGTATACACATATACGTATGCATGTATGAATATATTGTATTTGTGTAATTTTATTTTATTTTTTGCACTCTCTTGATTTGTGTTTCTCGCTAATTTTGTAAACAATTTGTTGTGCGCTTTTGACTTTCGCTGTTGTTTTTTGCATTATTTTATTTATTATTATTTTGTGTTTGCATATTTGTTGAAACTTTTTTTTTCATTTTAGTTGCACAGCTGCACGACATTGCGTGGGGTACAATAATGTGAAGTGTAATAAAGAACGCAAACTCAAATAAATATAGAAATATCAAATAAAATATAAATAAATAAATAAATAATAAATTAAGTTAATCGCTTCTAGCCACAACATTTAGACAATTTGAAGAAGAAGACAACTTGCAAAAGTAGTACATTTCCACAAAGTTTTGGTTGAAATTATTATAATATTTTTTTGCGCTAAAAATATTTACTCTAAGTGTTAGCTTTTGCCATTAAGTATATTTAACCAAAACCAAAAAAAAAAATTAATTTTTTTTTTTTTTTTTGAAATAAAAAATTTTAAATAGAAAATAAATGTTTTTCAAAATTTTACCTTTTTGCTTTAAGTTTGCCTCCGCTTGTATGAAGTTATCGTAAAGTATAAAATAAACGTGACTATAGTTCGTTTCGAATAATGATTTTGCCTCTTCTTGGTCAACATTGTCTGAAATGTGAGAAAAAACAAATGGTAAAAATAATTAAAATATTTAGATAATTTTTCCCAGATATATAAATTATGAAATGTAAAAATGAAAGACTTTTCAAATAGTTTGTTAATTCTTAAATAAATGGCATTTACAGTGTTGTTGTAGTATCGGTTCGCTAACCCCGCTTAGGTACAGGTTTCACTAATCTAAGTCGCCGAGGTCATCTAATTGGAGGTCCACGAAACGAGCTGTTTCGACAGGATTGAACCAAAGGGAGAGGGGGGTTAGACGAGTCGGTTTAAGGGGGCATGTGAAAAGGTACTTAGTGTCGTACGAAGACTCTAAACATGCAGGGCATACATTGGATATGCTGGGGACGAGTCTGGATAAGTAGGAGTTTAACCTGCTACAGTATTCAGACCACTATAGTCGAGTCTTTCGGGTTGCCAGGTTGGAGTACTGGTCTGATCAAGCCTTCAGAGTTAATGTTAATTTTAAAATGACTACTTGCTGTAGTAAAGGCTGATTTTTTAGCTATTATCTTTTTGGCAACACTGGTTTAAACCGCTGACGCATGTTTCGTGTTTTGTATCACTGTCAAACATCTTCAGTTTGATCTATAATTTAACCATGAATCGTCTTACAAACGGACAACGCTTGTCAATTATTGAATTTTATTATCAAAATGCGCGCGCTTCGAAACTCATTTTGGATTAATGGGTGCCTAAATAAGCAGAATTGTCGATTATGGAGTGAATATCAGCCAGAAGCATTGCAAGAGCTACCAATGCATTTAGACTATATTTTGTGGGGCCACAATATCTATACAGCCAAGTCCGCTTCAACTGACGTAAGATTGAAGCATTTATTCCTAGGATATCGGCCGAAATGTTGGAAAGAGTATGCCAAAATTGGGCTAAGCGGATGGACCATTTGAGGCGCAGTCGCGGTCGACATTTGCATGAAATAATCTTCAAACATTAAATTATTGGGTTGCCCAAAAAGTAATTGCGGATTTTTCATATAGTCGGCGTTGAAACATTTTTTCAACGGCTTGTGCCTCTGTAATTGCATTCTTTCTTCTGTCAGTTATCAGCTGTTACTTTAAGCTTGCTTTAGAAAAAAAGTGCGCGAAATTTTGTTTACATTTGTTTGTTTGGCGTCAATTTTAATATGGAGCCCACAAAGGAGCATTTTCGTCATATTTTACTTTATTATTTCCGTAAAGGAAAAAAACGCGGAGCAGGTTGCTGAAAAGTTACAAGATGTGTATGGTGATGAAGCCTTAAAAGGAAGACAGTGTCAAAATTGGTTTCGCCAATTCCGTTCTGGAGATTTTTCACTTAAAGATGAGCCACGTTCAGGTTGGCCAAATGAAGTTAATGATGACCAAATTAAAGCATTAATCGAATTGGATCGTCATGTAACTGAGCGTGAGATAGGAGAGAAGTTAAATATACCAAAATCAACCGTTCATTATCACATAAAAAGTCTTGGACTGGTGAAAAAGCTTGATATTTGGGTACCACATGTATTGAAAGAAATTCATTTAACACACCGAATCAACGCTTGTGATATGCACCTTAAACGCAATGAATTCGATCCGTTTTTAAAACGAATCATAACTGGAGATGAAAAATGGATTGTTTACAACAACGTTAGTCGAAAACGATCATGGTCCAAGCATGGTGAACCAGCTCAAACCACTTCAAAGGCTGATATCCACCGAAGGAAGGTTATGCTGTCTGTTTGGTGGGATTGGAAGGGTGTCGTATATTTTGAGCTGCTTCCAAGCAACCAAACGATTAATTCGGATTTTTACTGTCAACAATTGGACAAATTGAATACAGCCATCAAGGAGAAGCGACCAGAATTGGTCAATCGTAAAGGTGTCATATTCCACCAGGACACCGCTAGACCGCACACATCTTTGGTCACTCGCCAAAAACTGAGTGAGCTTGGCTGGGAACTTTTGATGCATCTGCCATGTAGCCCTGACCTTGCACCATCAGAGTGCGATTTATTTTGATCTTTGCAGAACTCCTTAAATGGTAAAACTTTCGGCAATGATGAGGCTATGAAATCGCACTTGGTTCAGTTTTTTGCAGATAAAGGCCAGAAGTTCTATGAGCGTGGAATACTAAATTTGCCAGGAAGATGGCAATAGGTTATCAAACAAAATGGCAACTATATATTTGATTAAAGTTCATTCTAAGTTTAATTAACGAGAACTTTTCGTTTCGGGTAAAAACGAATTAAAATTTCTTTTGGTAACTGCTTTAACGGTAACATTTCCAAATGTTTCAACCGAAACGATTGCAATTTCTTGAATAACGTGAAATTTACCGTTACGATGCAGCCTTGATAATAAGCAAATTATTGTATTATTAACAGCTTCAATAAATTAAGCTAAAATCGAAAGCGAAGCTGTTCTTAGGTAACAGCCTTTTTTATTGCGTGATTTGGCAATCCCTGGCAACTGACAAGTTTATCGTAAAGTTTGACGATTTTGGTATTATACCTAAAAATGGAACTAAACATTTTCAAACGATTATTTATTTCAACTTTCGACCTGGTTTAACTCAGCTACAACGCATGGATGAACTTAATTGATCCATCAGGAATCAGTGTTAAACGACGTCGGAGATCACTCGAAGACGAGTTTCGTGAAGTTTGTCCAAAAGCAGTTTTCGTTCCGGAAACTATTGATGCTGTGCGCAAACTTATATTGCAAGATCGCCATGTGAGTTAACGTGGGATTTATGGGTATTGTGAAAGCGGTGCTCCGAAATACGTCTGTGACTTCGTGACCGATAATGAACAGTGGACTTACGTGTATGAGTACGAAAACAAGCAATAGTCGACTGTATGGGTGTTTAAGAAGCTGAATCCAACTAAAAATTTTCACGTACGCAGCGCTACGAAGTAAATTATTGACTGACTTGGCACCGAATGATTTGTTTTTATTCCCTTTCGTAAAAAAAAAACTGCGAGGTCAACATTTTTTGGCTCCTTAAGAGGCGGTTGATGGGTCCAGAATGCATGTTTTTGTGATACCTCAATGGGAGTGGTAAGAGTCCTTTAGTAATTGGTTCAAACGCATGCAAGAGTTGCTTAGATCTTAATGGAGATTACTTTCTAAGCCCAGATATAAAAGGCAACATCTTTGGAAGTATTCTCCCCAATCTGAGATAAATTACAAATTGTAGCTTTAATCACACTTTCGGTCCGGGGGATTACGATTTTAACCGGGGTGAGTACGACATACCTTTTGTAAGACGGTCGTGTTAGGGCCTGAAAAACCGTGAGTGAAAGAAGGTTGCATTGTCATTGATGGCGGCTGGCAGCGCGATCAGATAGTCGGAGTGATCAAAGACAAATTGGATACCTTGGTGACGTATACTACCACCGCTGGACCTAGACGTTTTTTGCATATTCCGACGGAACCGATGTATTTGGACGTTTTTCTTTTTTTTCTGATAACCCCCGGAAACTGTTTCCATAGAGAAATCAAGCGCTGGTGTTTGACGGTTAGGCAGTATGCACAAAAGGCGGCTCGTTTGTCACCTGATTTTGTTAACCTAACGGTGCGATGTGAAAAGGCGTTTAAAATAGCTTTCGCTCTTCTTCGGGTCGGTCGAGGCTTGGCCAGCGCATGGAATTTTCACCCGCTCATCACGTTTTGTCGAATTAGACAGCGATTTAACTGTGGCTCAAAGATTGTTTGCGTCAGAAGAGGCGTAAGAGAAGAGTAGGAGAAGTGCTCCTACCACTTGTCGCGCTTAGGCCGAAAACAATATCATAACCACACTTCCTCATACATACACATTTAGATAGTCTATGGATAACCAAAATCGACCCTGCGCTCGAACTGTCCTGATAGTATTTGATCTGCAAGTCGCGCATTGCTACTATCGGTTAAAGCACAAATGGCAAACAGTCATCGGTAGAATTTCACGACACCAACCATATCTTTGCATGCCCTCTAAAGCCAGCTCATCTAACACCCCTCTCCCTCTAGTTTGTGCACGTCGTTCTTCCGTTAGATGACCTTAATGACTTAAACTGATTTTATCTAGTCCTAAGCAGGGTTCGATATCCGCTACAGAAAGATTCTTCTCACTTAGGACGATTCGTGATATATTGAAGGCACCTCTAACGCAAATCTCATACCTTTCGCTTTTGGTAGACTACCACTTCCTTGCTATCTCTCATCTCATTGTTGACAATAAGGGTTTTATCGATTTGTAACCCAACTTAACCTAACATAACCTAAAGTATGCCAACCATAAGAATTTGAAATTTTGTAGGTATGAAGAGGCAACTCCAGCCTTTTGTCTGTAATAATTCGGATTTGGGTTCCTCAATTATGATCTGCCAGTCGCAGTGTTTGAAGGGGCCTGCAGTTTTGTAAGATGCGTTCCCCTTGATCAGCAGAAAAATTTTGGTGAGTGGATTTCGTATGATGTCTCATACAGAAAACAAAAACAAAATTGAGATTCATGTTGTTTTTGTTGTTGTTATAGCCGCCAAAATATTTCCCAAAGCAGTTTTCGGGGAATGTGGCGGGAGTGACAGTTCTTGGCCGGATATAAATCCGGTTTATTTTGGTATAAAGACTAGACTGTCGCGGAAACTTTTCGATTCGCCTCTGTAATTTTCATTTTTTTTTTTTCGAATGCCCATATATTTGAGAATATTTTTCGGAAGATTAAAAGTGATCCAAGAAACATTCTCGGAGATATGATCGTATTGTTACGGCGTGGTGTTCGAAAATATGCGAAGCGCAAGGCGAAGTAGTTTAACTTACGGTACATGTTTCGCAAAACTTTAAAACTCTGTTTTCAGAGTCGGTGAGGAAAATTTCTCTGAAACGATCGACTTAAAATTTTCACAGGACCTTCTAAGATATACATAATTGTTAGGTAATGATCGAAGGAATAAAATTTTTTGACAATAATTTCGATTTGTTAAGCCACTTTGAAATGTAGAATTTTTTACAAAAAATGAACATCTT